AATTTTGTCAAGTCTGTCAAAAGTCTAAGGTCGAAAAAATATATAGTGACCTCACATATTTTTGTTGCAAATTGATCATGTCATTTTGCCATTCAACACTCACAAGTGGCTACCACCTTTATCATAAACTAAGGTACTTGCCTGTAGAGCTGTGTGTATAAGTCCACAAGTTTTATGAAAGGCCTTTCATAGGTGTGTCCTGTGTCTTTCTTTCTCATAAAGGCTATGTTCTTTTCATAAAATGTAGGCAAAGACCACAGGACCATTTCATAACATTTCATAGGAGCTTTCATAAAAGCTTTCATAATTATTATCATGCACTTTCTATGAATATTTCATTGTACTTTTCATAATTAAACCTGTGCACTTTCAATAAATATTTCATTGACTAGGTTTGGTGTATTCATTGCCTCTTTCACATTTAATGGTGTGTGCTTTCATTGAAGAATTCATTAGGAATTTTCAGCACTTTCATTGCACTTTTCATAATTAAACCTGTGCACTTTCAATAAATATTTCATTGTCTATGTTAGGTGTATTCATTGCCTCTTTCATAATTAATGCTGTGCACTTTCATTGAATATTTCATTATCAATTCTGGGTGCTTTCATTGTGCATTTCAATAAATATTTCATTGGCTAGGTTAGATGTATTCATTGCTTCTTTCATAATTAATGATGTGTGCTTTCATTGAATATTCTACAGCTTTCACTGGGATTTTTCATTGAGTATCTCTCAATATTTCATTCTGATTTTCATACATACCCCCAGGGCTATCATTACGATTTTTCATTATATTCCATTATAGCAATAAAATAGCTATTAGGGTCCATCCAATTGTAGCACACTAGTAAGGTCCTATCTCACTATCCTTTCTGCTCCCCAAGATGTCTGTCTCATATGCTCATTCTTGATCACTTGCATTGTATTATGTCACACATTACGTAAGCATTGTAGTTATACCTCATGTACATGAGGCAATATCATCTTCTTACTATCACCTACAACTCTTGTATCATTTGGATACCAAAGCCCTACCAACAGCTCTGATCCAAA